CACCCCTGCGTCGATAGCCCCCGGGGTTCGGGAGTTACGGGTGGTTAAATTCGCAGGTCGGTAGCCCCCCGGGATCGCTTGATCGTTCGGCACCGACCTAATTACACCATTTCAAGCATTTTATCTGCGTTATATGTTCTGTAAAGAAAATGTTCATATCGGCGGCATATCGGCTGCATATTCGCCGATACGATATATCGGCGACAGGCTCATATCGGCCGATAATATAGGCAAAACGATATATCGGTTGGGCTCTAGTAAGGACATCGTTAAAATAGTCCATGTGAAATCAGTGGTTCAACCGTAATTTCAACAGACACGGAAGAGAAGAAATTATTAAATAAAGTCTTAATTTTTGTTTTCTTTGTGCACAAAATGTATTCTCATAGCTTCATAAAGTTAAGGTTGAACCAGTGATGTTAACAATGTCCTTACTACCTTTCTGGGCCTTGAACGTTTCAGTTCCGTTGCTGGCTATGCAGGGTCAGAAAGCTCTCGGATTTCATCAAAAATATCTTAATTTGTGTTCTGAAGATAAACAAAGGTCTTATGGGTTTGGAACGACATGAGAGTGAGTAATTATTGACAGAATTGTCATTTTTGGGTGAACTATTCCCTTAGGTATACAAAGAGTTCTTGCTTCATTTAGAGTCGAAAATGACTTGATTCAGTGCGTTAACTGATTCTAACTGCAAAGATTTAGTGAATGATTTGTCAGACTGATATATACTAGACACGCTTGTGAGTGCTTTTGTGTGATACATTAGAAGGAACGTCCTAAATATGAGTCATTTTGTTCATGATGAGCTGTGCTGTGCTGGTTTTTGAGTGCAGCCAGGAAATAAAATAGAAAAAAATGCAGTACACAATCCCATCACATCTCATTTCATCACATTCAGTTCAGATTGCACAATCACAACAGAAAACAATGATTCTTTTCACTGTGGTGCTGTGGAATCAACAGCAGAGTAGCTGTGTGTATTTTAATGAGTCTTCAGGTCTGCAGGGCTCATGCACAGGGTTATTTGCAGAACTCTTCTACTATCTGGCCTGAATCCAGAGCCAAGTGAGGGTTAGACATGCACAGGTGGGCCCTGGGTAACGTGCACAGGGTGGGAGAAAATGAATGCCAGGATATGGGTCACAGAGAAACAGGTGGGATATGGCCTAATTTTTAAAACAGACAGATTGACTTATATAGACACACTGAGAACTCTAATAAAATAGTTTCTAATAGAATTTTCAGAGTTTTCACTATTAGGCCTTGATGAGGCATATGCTGGGCAATATTATCAGCTCACTTCCTGCCTGGCACAGTCGTACCTCCCGGTGAAGGACAGCTCTGAGCCAACGATTTCCATAATGTCAAGGCTGACCTCAAATCAAGTTTTTGAACCATCTGTTCAATGAGGGAATTGCTAAGCTGGATCCAGAGTTGAGCTTGACAAGTTTTAAATTGCATTAAAGACTTGGCATGAAGTCTTGAGGCTATTATGGCTAAATCACATCAATTTAAAACCTCATACTCTATTTTTTTTTTGTCATATTAAGTTTTTTTTTTTTTAACTCTTTCCATTAATCACTAGTCAGATTTCTTGCATTCTTTGACCTTTAACATTTTAAATCCTTCAATCCAGGCGAACCCCCCATCATTTGACCGCTGTGAGGACTTGGCAGCTCTGCTCTACCTGAATGAGACCAGTGTCATGCATTCCTTGCGCCAGCGCTATGGAGGAAATCTCATCCACACATATGCAGGGCCCAACATGGTGATCATCAACCCTACCAGCGCCCCCTCAATGTACTCAGAGAAGGTGAGAGCCCTTGTTTTTCTTTTACACTCCTTGCATCCAAATTTGCTTACTACTTTACTATGTAGTATCCAAATACACAATATTCATTTAAACAGTAGGCGACAAATACTCACATAACGTCCTAGTTCATGAAATGCATATTATACCTTGACAGTGTGCGATTTATAGACGGAGCTACTCACTGTGGAAGCAATGCATTATGGGTACAATATTTTCTACAACTGTCCCTTCGTCAGTTTAACGCAATAGGAACTGAAAGCCGATAATGAGCTTTATTGGTTTTCATGCAAGATAAATTACTACCCATAAAATGTAATTACAATCCAGAAGAGAATTTCTTTCGGTCACTGGTCCTAATTAAGTGATTTTGCATTATGGATCAAGCTGATTATGTGCCGTGATGAGCGTTTCTGCATTCTAAAGCTGAAACTATGATATATGTGAAAATATGCTGTTGCACTTGTGCTGGAAAGATGGTTTACGCCAACTTTCTTTTCTAATTAACAGCTATTGATTTTCCCTTCATTGGAAAATTAATGTTTATGGGTTTACATTTGAGGCTTTAAGGTTTCCATTATTGACTTTTCTGTTGTACAGAAAATAGACACTCTGTAATACATTAAGATTATTAGTTTGAGTATTTAGTTTTTCCAAACAATGATCTTCATTAAGCTTGTCCACAGAATTTTGTTTTCTTGGGCAAGAGGCATAAAGAAAATTAACGTGTTTGTCAGTGTGTTAGAAGTTAATTTTCTCTCTCTGTCATTTCAGGTGATGCACATGTTCAAAGGCTGTCGAAGAGAAGACACAGCCCCTCATATATATGGAGTATCCCAGTCCGCCTACCGAAACCTTTTGACAACGCGACAGGACCAGTCCATCGTGCTGCTGGGAAAGAGTGGCAGTGGCAAGACCACAAACTGCCAGCATTTAGTCCAGTACCTGGTGTCCATCGCTGGCAGCACTGGAAAGATCTTTACTGGTACAGAGACAAGAGCCATAATAATCTCCTAGCAGTTTTAAATGGGATTCTAGGAATGCACCAAATTTTTACAATTATTTTAAATAAGTACTTGCAAACTTTAATAACATAAATGTGTTTGATTTATTTCAGTTATACTAAAATGGTAACCTAAAATGATAACATCTAAATGAACTGGTTTCATTCAAGTCAGAAATATTATTTAATATCACTGAACCGAAATACATTAATTTATATCAACAAAACTAATGTATATGGGTTAAATCAGGTAGAAATAGCTCTTTAAGGTAACAGTTGCAGATTACCACATTTTACAGTGTACAATCTGAAATTTAATTTAATTTAAGCTCCAATCTGAAATTTTCATTCATTTGTAAAAGTGCAATACAGTGTAAAAATATTAGAATTTAATAATAGAGATACTTTTTTGTTGTTCTTTTGTAACCAAGCTAATATTGGCCTATATAATATGGTCATTATGCATTCCCATTTTTAGCTGCATAGTATCTCACCACGTGCTTGAAAAGCTTGAACAGCCTGTGGTAAAGGGTGAATGGAAGGGTGTCATGCGGTCACTGGAAATGGGCTTGTGTAGCGTGGTGAGAGTGTGAGCGCTGGGAAGAGGGTGACAGATGAGGGCTGTGCTAATGATGCCCACTAAAGCACTCTGATAATTAGCCGTCATCAAGGCCTGCTCAACCCCTGCTCGGTCAATAATGACCTAATGAAGACTACAGTGCTCATCAACTATACCATTAAAGAGGCCTTGATGTTATCTCCGTATGCTCGACTCTGTATGCAGGATCCTGTCTTCTAGTGCGGTCAGTGTTAAAGAGTGAGTCCTTTAGTTAAATATTAATGTGTGTCTCCTCCAGCTGAGAAATGGCAAGCGGTCTACACAATCTTAGAGGCCTTTGGAAACAGTGCCACCTCCATGAACAATAATGCAAGCCGCTTCTCCCAAATCGTCTCACTGGATTTTGACCAGGCTGGTCAGGTGGCCTCAGCCTCCATTCAGGTTTGTCGATATAGTACTGGGTCATATCGAAGTTATATAAAATGCACATTGTACTAATTTTATAGCTTATAGTTAAACGGCAATCCTTCATCTATCCACCCACCCTGCTACCTTTAATGCCCTTTTAATAAAATGTTTAATTCAATAAATAATAATATACATGTTATCTTAATAGTTTTAATAGTTTAATAATTTTATAGTACAATACTTTAAAAATTACCCTTTTAAAATGGGCGAAGAATAGAATTCCCTTTTTGTAATTATATAAACATTTGTTTGCTCTGTTCGTTTGTAATGTTTTGATAATTTTACTAAGACTCATTAATCTCTTTCTTTTATATGTAGACCATGCTGCTGGAGAAGCTGAGAGTGGTGAAACGACCAGAGACTGAGTCCACTTTTAATGTTTTTTATTACATGATGGCTGGAGCTGACAGCACACTTAGGTAATCTCACAATAATTGTATGCATGTGCATTTTTCAGTTATTTTGTTTGACCCCAACATTTCTGCTCTCAGAAAGTGTGCACTATTGAAGAAATCTGTAAAATAACTGTATAATTTAATAACTTGATTGTATTCAATTTTCCTGCAGAACGGAGTTGCATTTTAACCACTTTGCAGAGAACAGTGCTTTTGGGATTGTGCCTCAAACTAAGGTTAGATTTTATTTTATTTTATTTTAAAATTATTTTATTTTATTTTAAATTAAAATTCCCATCTAATATTCTTTTTTTTTGTGTGTATACACAGTCTGAGGACAAGCAAAAGGCATCACAACAGTTCACTAAACTGCAGGCAGCTATGAAGGTGTTGGGCATCTCTTCTGATGAACAGAAAGCTCTGTGGCTCATCCTTGGAGCCATATACCACCTTGGAGCTGCAGGGGCCACAAAAGGTAATGCAGTGCTCACTCACTCCAAGTCACCAATAACCCCAGCATAAACCTTTAGCAAAACGTATTTAGAAAGTTTAATAGCTTGCTTTGATTCCAAGTCTTCCCCTTTAAGCCCCACACTGTTGTCTCTGAGCTAATTTAGCTCACAAAAGCATTCGACAGCTTTCTCTTTACACATCAGAACTGGAGAGCTTCAAAAAAAGCCTTAATGAGATAAAATGCTCAAAACGCCTAACAAGCACAGAAACAGACTTTATTAATTAAGGCCGACTTACTGTCTGCTCTGCTTACTGAGCTTAAACAGAGGAGAGACAAGCAGCTCAGGAAACAGTTTGATGTTGAGGAGTTTAGAGATATGCGTGTTTCTTTAGTTCTAATGAGGATGGATGGCTCAGTATTTACAGTCTGTGATATCACTTCCCCCTCATGCAGTCAGACGATGATGTATTAATGAACCTTTTAATCACCAGACTCCAAACTGTACTGTCTACATGCTGTCTCTAGGGTCCACAGTCATGGGAAACTCAGAAATAGCTGGGAATATTCAAATTGTGTGTGTGTGTTTGTCTTATAACATCATAGAAAATGGCTATATAGAGAGTTAAATTTCTATAAAATTATTATTTAAAAATTATCCAGTAATAAAAGGTGTGGGAAAGGTTTGGCTTGGATTTGAATACATGGCCATCGGTCTGTTTTAATTGAATGTAATGTGTACTAGTTTGTTGCTGATATATCGTCACTGCAGTCACTGGATTGCTCAGTATCTGCAGTGGATCCGTTCGTTCTAGTCTGGTACTCTTTCCTGTACCTGCATGCCTCCCCCGTGTCTCTCTCAGACAAATGTGGGAACGCCTTATTTCTGACAGGAGGTACTAATACTGCTTTAGTGTTCTGAGTTGGTACTAAAGACTACCATTATATGACATCAAACATCATAACAAAGCTTTTTTAGCAACACATTTCACCTTCAGGACAATATATTCAGTGTTTATAAAGATGTCTTTGTCTCCTGTCACTCAGTCGTACCTGACTGTGCGTACAGCAGGGGGCAGTGTTGTTCTGCCTTATTGTGTTTTGTCTGGGTATTTACCTTGGTCAAGTCTGTTGTTCTTCTTCTTAGTACAGGCAAGTACCTGTAAAAAGTGACAAATAGTTTTTCTAGAACAACAGCTTGATATATACTACCGATCAACTTTGGGGACAGTAAGAATTTTTTTATATACTTTTATTTAGCAAGGAAGATGCATTAAAGTGACAGTAAATACATTTATAATGATTTCCATTTCCATTTTGATCAAATAAATGCAGCCTTGGTAAGCATAAGAGATTATGTTTTTAGATTTGATAAAAAATACAGTAAATACATTAATTAAAACCTCTTTCAAAAACACTGATAAACCTTTCCCGACCCCAACTGAATGGTAGTGTACAGTACATAACCAAAAAATACAACGAGCAGTAACTACATGCTTTACTACAGACTTACATAATTTACATTTATTAATTTAGCAGTCCAAAGCAACTTAAATAAACCCAATAAGCACAAGCAATTATACAACATAAATGGTATTAAACCATTTATTTTTTATTAAACATAAAGCTACAGTTTTATTCTACTCAATTTTATAAAAAAAATTACAATGTAACCTGTACATGTTATTTCAAGAAAATAGACTTTGTAATAATTATGAACTATTATTACTATTATTATAATTTTTTTATATATATTTTGAGCACTTTTCTACAATTAAAAATATACAAAATAAAAACAATTAATTTAGTTTATTACTAGTCCTGATATATGCTATTATATCCATTCATTGGCCAGCCATTGAAAAAAGCGCGTATTGGTCATTTACTAATTGACTAATATGCAATGGAAATGCCTACTGAAAATGCATGGAAGAGCCAATAATATGTGTATATACAAGAGTTTGTGTGCTAACGATTGCATTTTTGGTTCCTTGTTTGTACAATACTGAAAAATGTCTGTCATGTTCTAACCTCTTCTTCTCTACTTGCATGTTGCATGCTGTTACAAAGCAGAGGCTGATGAAGGTAAAGAGCATGAATATTATATATCAGCACAACAAGCAAACATCTCATTTGTGTATGTGTGTGTGTGTGGCTGCTATCGTAGTTGCCAGACATTTCCATTTGCATTCTTATTGTCTTCTTTTCTTTCTTCTTTCATTTCTCTGCTGGGCTTCTTTTCTTTCAGAGGTTTATAACCATGTCTTAGTCTTGAAGCTTAGATAAAACTTTGGTGGGAATATGTGCGGGTGAGGGAGGGGAGCATCGTAACTTTGTTGTCTTATAAGGCTCAGGCTCTCTGATGTTTCTCCATGTTGTAGACTTTTCATTTCTGCAGTGCTTTTCTGTTGTTAAGACGCAAACACAAATAAAAAGCTCTCAGTTTATTTTAGGTGTTCATCTATTCCACCAGAGGCCTGCATTGTTTTTCGTCTCTCTCTGCGACCTCTTCTGGTTGCGGCAACCTCACTGCAGCTTGCGTGTCACTCTTCTTGTGTAGGACTCTGTGATTTGCTCTGAGGTCAGTCGGAGCAATATCCGCTGGAAACTATTGAAAACCTTCAAAAGATTTTAAAAAGCAGACACATTTTCTGTGATGTCTAAACATTAAAACTCACAGACATCATCAGACCAGTTTTGACAGTTTGACAGAAAGTGAGAGTTTTCTCACACAAGAAAACTATAACTACACAATATCAACAATATGGTACCAAAATAGCTTGTTGTACAAAAACAAAAAACAAATTTTTGATAAAACAATCAAATATATTCAAGTGTATTCAGCCAGATATTATTAGATTTTTATTTGATATTTATGTTTAAAAATCATGAGATTTATATGCCTAGCCTTATACAAAATTAATAACATGACACATATTTACTAGTGCTGGGCATGAGTTAATTAGTAGATTAATCGTGATTAATCACATCCAAAATAAAAGTTTCTGTTTATATAATATATGTGTATACTGTGTATATTTATTATGTATGTATAATGAAATTTGGAAAATATTTACATGTGTATATTTATATTCATATAATTTATATTATATATAAATATATTTAATATATAAACATAACTTACTTTTCTTAAATATATACATGCATGTGTGTGCATTTATATATACATAATAAATATACACAGTACACACACGTATATAAACAAAAACTTTTATTTTCGATGTGATTAATCGCGATTAATCGTTGCCCGATGTAAAATCGATGTTTTGTAATTTTTCCAGTAATCAGAAATCTTGAAACTCTTTGTCTTTGTTTCAATTTAATCTATATTTAATCTCTTGTGGGATGTGTTTTCTTTTACCTTTTGTAGTTTTCTTCATGATTTTTTTGAGGATGAGGATATGTCACACAGCCTGTCTATGGCATCTGCTTAATTTGGCAAGTCTTTACCAAGTAACAGATGGATTTGCCTGAAAATACCAGTGATTGACTGGATGACAAATTTGAATACAAAATATAAGGAAAGAGTTTCTCTGCCCTTCAAAACTGCTATTCTAAATAAGCATAATCCTAGTTAGATGCATTTTATCATCCATGACCGGAACTAACCTGCAGCCTACTTTAATTTGTAATCGACCAGGTGAAAACCACTGCTCTTCATCAAAACTTTTAGTATTTTGATTAAAAGTGGATCTTTAGTAAAAATCTGTATTCTAAAGCTAACATGGCGGTATGTAAATGATATAATCAGCGGAATTGCGTAAGACTTCTCTCGGATACTGTAAGAGCCCCACAGTCATTAGTGTTGCTTCATTCAACATGGTATTTTTGCTGTCCCTGTGCATCTCGCAGTGGGCCGGAAGCAATTTGCACGTCACGAGTGGGCACAGAAGGCAGCTTACCTCTTGGGTTGCACCCTAGAAGAGCTCTCGTCGTCTATTTTCAAACACCAGCCCAAAGGAACCTTACAGAGATCCACCTCATTCCGCCAGGGACCAGATGATGTTGGGACAGGAGACAACTCGGGTAAGAGCTTGCATAATACAAGACCTCTGATACAAAGGAATTGTGTTTGCTGGCTTTGGCAGTATTAAAATGTATGTTTTGCCTCACAGCTCCAAAGATCACAGCTCTGGAGTGTCTGGAGGCCATGGCTGCTGGACTCTTCTCTGAACCTATCAAATTATTCCTTTAAAAAAAAAAAAAAAATTATAGTCTCAATTCATTTGGGCTATGTCTAGCTGAGTTAAAACAATGTTGATTTTATTACAACCTCAAATTTAATTATGCAGAATTAACATGTTTGTCTAAGCTGTCATAATCAAATGTGCTTGCCTTGTTAACAAAATCAATAATCAGGCTAAGTACATGAGTCAATCAGAGATCAGTCATAGAGATAATGGCGCTGTAAGCGATGTTCTGGAACTCCCTACAAGTCGGCATGAAATGAAAATTCTATTCTAAAGTTAAAATAGCAGGATATTCTGCTAATTACTTATTGCAAATAGTGTCAATTATCTGCATTTCAGCATTGTAATACATTATAAAACAGTGTGCAATAATAACTTATTGAGTGTAAATTTTAATTCAAATTATTTAATGGATGCCACCTTATTGGGACAAAAGCCCTCCCTACATCTAACACTACCCAATATTTATTTTCAACTTTTTTATTATTTCCTTCATTTTTATAAAAAATAAATGCTTTTCTGATGTGATTTGAAATGTGAAAAAAATTTATGAAAAAAGTTCGCCAAAAGGCAGATTCGAACCCGGGTCGATCGCATCAAAAGAAATATGACACACGCTTTACCATCTGCACCACTGAATCTGACGATTAATGACCGTCTTTTGTAATGTTGACTAGCCCAATCACGCGTTGGTGGGTGGAGTTAGTGTAAATAGCCTCTGCTAACAAGGCTATTTACACTTAGTGTAAATTGACACTCCGATTTTTTTATTTATTTCAAACAGTTAAACAGTTGCCCACAGAAAAAAACAGGGGGTGCAGCACCCTCAGCACCCCCACTTCCCGTGCCTATGAAAATAGATCTGTTTTTTAAATGCATGTTATTGAGCTTATTGCAAACAATTTATTCATATAGGTTTCGTATTCGCATACATTTCATGTTTTTTTTATTCCGTTTAATCAAAATGTCATAACTCATTCTTTCCAAAAATTCAATTAACAACCGATGAATAGAAAAACAGTCCCTGCCCTATATACATTTTCATGCTTGAGGTTTGATCGGTTCTGATTCTAAGCCTCTTACTTGTTTTTTTGTTTGGCCACGAGGCTGTAAAATCATAGCACAAGAGAAAATATAGTATTAGACACATAAAAAGTAGAAAGCCTTAACCCAAAAATCAGTTTGAAATCATAGCTGACTAATACTCCCTCTATCCCTGTTTAGGAAAACATAGAGCTTGCGTTAGATGACATAGAGTCCAGTACATCACTGTCTGTATCAGCTATAGACCAAGCCTCCACTCAAGCATTGGTAAGGAACTCTTTTCTCCCCTCATCTTTTCTTTCCTCCTCAGGTTTTTGTAGTGCATCCCAGCTTGTCCCCAAAGGGCCTTATCTGGAAAATGTGTGCTTTTCAGTTTCAGCTGTGACTTGAATCACTGAGTTTTCCCTCGTCTCTCACAACGTTGGGGAAAATTCAGTTTGACTGCTTGAAAGTTCTAGTCGATGACTTTTGTGTCCTTTAGTTTGTTGTTTGAGAGCGAACTCAACCTCAAAGTTGTTATCTGTTGTGGTAAGTTATTATATTGTCGTATCTAGCCAGTTGTTGCAGGAGCAGCATGTCAGGAACGTGGCTTTCTGGGAGGTTAATGAGACTAACCTCCCAGAAGATTGCTCTGACAGCATTTCATATTCAATATTTATATACATTTTTTTTTTTTATTATTTTCTTTTTTCTTTTTTTTGACCAGTAGTGTATATTATTACTTACAGTTAGGGCTGTGCAAAAAATCGCATTCGATTTTTTGCCCAGCCCTACTTACAGTATATTCTAGGTTTTGTTATTTTAAATAATATTTTTTATATAATAACTTTATAACTTTTTTTATTCTCATGAGTGGCATGGAATGAGTGGCAGGAACACATGGTACATGTTATGTTTCTCAGCAATATAACAATCACACATTGCAGGATAGGGCATTTTATTTAGTCATTTTCTAGATATTGCAGCAACCAATTTCTATTAGTATCTCAGGTAACCATCTTTATGATTGAATTAACTCTTTCCCCGCCAGCATTTTTGAAAAAAAGTTGCCAGCCACCGCCAGCGCCAGATGATTTTCACTCAAATTTGATGGCCTCCAGTATATTTTGCTGTATGAATATTTGAATATGCAATACACCAAAATAAAGATCAGAGCCTCTACTTTTAAACAAAAAAAATCTGTTTTATTCTAGCTTAAAGCATTCTTTTTTTATCAACACTTGAATGGTAGGTTTCATAAAAATGCATAATTTTGAGCAAAAAGGTGAGAAAATCAAATTTTTATCAAAAACGACATCTAGATAATATTCAGTAGGATTATCAAAGCATAAATCCAGTAAATCGCTTCCATCAAAACCTCCAAAGCTTACACAGACATATACCACTTCCTGGATCAACATTTTACTCTGTAACATTATGCAGTTTTCATTTATATGCTGTCTATTGCTGATGATCGCATTATTTTTCATATGCATCTGTTTACATAAGAGATCACTAGTTTTTCTGTCCTGTTCACGTGTGTTTTTGTTCGGGAGGATTTGTACTCGTTCAGAAGATGCGTAATAGCGCCCCCGAGTGTATAACAGAGAAAACACGAAAAGCTGTAAAAACTCGTCTTTGGCGGGGAAGCGTTTTTTTATAAAAGAGACCAGATAACTCGTCAATGGCGGGGAAAGAGTTAATAGGTTTAAACGGGCATCCTTGGCTTAAAAAAGGGTTTTAGATTAGAATGGGTCAGTTGATACGTGACTGATTGCAAAGACAATAAGTGTGATTTTATTTCTAACAAGCTGCTTTGAGTATCACTATGAAGTGTTTTGAATGCCACCAGTGGTCACGATCACCAATTACGGTTTTACGAATTGAAGTAGAAATGCAAACACAAATGCCTGTGTAGTCATGTAATCTTTTACGCTTTTCTCTGCTTTTCAGTTTGCTGAAGTTTTGAAAGAAATTCATAAATTGTCAAATGAGCACTTTAAAAATTAAGTAATTGAAAGCACTCGTTAAAACAACCCTGACGAGTTAATTAGCCAATCTGTGCTTGATGAAAATAATACAGAGGCATGGTGATGACAGTCTCATCAGTGTGAAAAGTAATATTTAAAGACATATTCTGAGCATATTCATAAGCCAACGTAATTGCTGTAAATTCTTTTCCGCACCAGTCTCATCCGCAGTTATTCAGCAGTCTGCAAAGTGTCAGTGCGGTAATGCAGAACAAGGGCGAAGCCATTACTGGTATTAATTGCTTAAGTAGACAGCCAGAGTGTAAGGTTTAAAAATGCCTGCCTGACTGCCCTGGAGCTCTTACTTAATACAGGCCTTTAATGAGGAGCCCAAGACTAATAGCTCATCTTTTTTCCCCTCGTTTTCTCCTCCTCTCTCTTATTCTATAAAGGATAGTAATTGCTTTCATGTAATGACTAATGTTGTGTTTGAGGTCATTATCGAAATATGAAATGAAAAGTAAATTAAACAATGCACAGTCTTGATGAATGAAAGGGGCTTGAATTGCAAGTAAACCAAGTTCTTGAGAGAGATTGAGTTGTTATAGCCACAGTGCAGCATACACTTTTGGGTCTAACGTCTTGTTATTTGCACTGATAATTCATGTGAAGAATCTTAGTGGAAAAGAATTTCAAAAAGAAATGGCGGAGAGTGATGAGTTGGTAGTGCTTTCAGAAGGTTTAGAGGTCCTTTTATAATGGGTTAATGCTGTTTGTATGTTATGTGTGCATAAGTGTGGTCACATTCACATGTCCTTTTTCTGACTGTTCATTTATATGTCAGGCTTTACAGGGTTAAACATGAAAAGTATTTACACTCTAGCCCAAAAGTGGAGTTGTAACCTAAATTTGGGGCTCGTCCGGGATTTGAATCGGTTGTGTCCCCAGCTCCCTAGTTTATATTACTGACCCCTGTCTACGGTTCAGTCTAACAAAGTGTTCTTGCATGTCCGTATGATTCAGGTACGGACTTTGGCCAGGACAGATGAGGCGAGGGGCCTGCTGTGGCTGATGGAGGAAGAAGCTCTGCAGCCCGGGGGCTCGGAGGAAACTCTACTGGAGAGACTCTTCAGTTATTACAGCCCTGTGGATGGAGAGAGCAAAGGTCAGAACACAATACACCTCCCACATGCCCACCCACGCACATACTACAACACATAGACATTTATGTATGAAAAAGTCATGCAACCTCATGTGCTCAATGCGTCCCTCAGGCCCTGCCCTGCTGCTGAAGAGTGAGAAGGCACATCACTTCCTGTTGGGTCACAGCCATGGGACTGACTGGGTGGAGTATGATGCTAGCGGCTGGTTGAGCCATGCCAAACAGAATCCTGCCTCTCAGAATGCAGCCATTTTACTGCAGGACTCTCAGAAGTAAGACCTTAATATCTGCCTGCTGGTACAAACATTTAGCAAACTCCGTCTCTACGAGTGCTGTGAGTTTGGGTTGCTTATAACTAAATGTGAAAACACAATGAAAATCATTCATTTATGGTTAAATGTTTATAAGAGAAGAAATTAAGACAGGCAAGAAATTGTAATATTTATTGATTTATATTTTATACTTTAAATAATAATAGTAGTCATAATAATAATAATCTTATAAATACTGTTTTGTATTATGCAGTATAATAGTATTATTGCAATATTAAAAATATATTTTTGATTTATTTAATTTTTATAATTTAAATAATAAAAAAATACATTTATTATTACTGTATAGTAATATTGAATGTTTTTTTTTTTTTTTTGCAGTTACCTGAATTGTTTTGGTCAAATTAACGTTTACTATGTTTAGTGTTTGGGAAGCTAATGTTGCTTGTTACTGAAAAAGCAACTGCTGAGGTGTGATTATGTATAATGGCAACATTTTTGCTTATTTCAAATGTTGCATAATTTACTTGTGGAGGCGTTAAATGATCCAGCTTATTCTGTGTGTACTCTGGTCCTTCTCTCTGCAGGAAGAATATCAGCAGCTTGTTTATGGGGCGTTCAGGGGGTGCCACAGTTTTGTCAGGCTCTATTGCTGGGCTTGAGGGTGGATCACAGTTGGCCCTGCGCAGGGCCACAAGCATGAGAAAGACCTTCACCACTGGCGTGGCCGCTGTTAAAAAGAAGTCCCTCTGCATCCAGATTAAACTGCAAGTGGTAAGTACTTCAAAAGTGAAAACTACATCCATACACTAATGCATTCAAAACAGCTAGACAGAGAGCAACGGAATGGAACCTTATTATGGACCTCCTTGACTGGAACAGAAAATGCAGGGCTCTCAAGATGTGTTTTTAAAGATCCTAGAGCTAAAACTCTGCTAATTAGAGCACTGCCACTAAAATATGAAGTAGAAAATCTAGATAAACTAGTTACCCTCATTAATAAATTAATCAACCATGTGACTAGAAGTCGACGATACAGTTTTTTGATGGCCAATGGAATTAGAGCAGGATAGCTGATTTCCTATTTAATTTAAAGATGATAAGTGCTGCAATTAAATGTATATTTATCTACATAGTGTGACGGAGAGACCTTAAAGTTGTCTTCCATCACTGTTTTACGGTGTTCTTATTGTTTCAGATGCATTGTTGTAATTATACATTTCCTAATCTAGCTGAGTGGGCATGGCAATAAGAAGTGCGAACTCGAGGGAAGCGCTCATTATAGTTAATTTATGAAAGTGTTCGTGCAAATATGTTTTGATTTATCAGTCCTCTTATTATTTGTATTTATTTACTTTATTTACTTAACTCTTGTTACTTATTTTCATGTATAAATCATATTGTGAAACAAGAGTTTATTTGATAAAAAAAACATGGTATGTTCCAATTAGTAATAGCGGGAAAATGTGTATTTAAGATGGCCGTCACTAGTAGTAAGAAGGGGTGGATGGAATAAGAGCTTGTTAATGAGTTTGTGTTGCTGTGTAAGTATGGTAAACTCCAGCCGCAATATTGTGGAGGGGAGTTAGTATTGTTTTAAGTACTCAGCAGTTCTAGTTTTAGACTGCTTTTATCAACAATCTTTATTTTAAGCTCTTAAAACATATTTATTTGCACATCGCCCGAAATAAACAACCTTTTGGATGCTAAATTCGCTCCCTTGATTTTTATCCTAATTTGTGACTGCTTGAGCCATTATCACACATAGTATTTACCAAATTAGAAGTAAATAATTTAAAAATGAAACAATATGAAAAAATAAACCTGTAAAATAAACATTCGTACTTTAGAAAGAGCTGTCAAAATAGAAGTCCCGGCACTATCAAAATAAAGGTCCCACTTCCATTTTTCAGCCAAACTGAAAAAAACGTAGCGGCCGATAATTTAAAAAGTGCCTTGAAACTTAATGTGACTGTTGTATGTTTTCCCATAGGATGCGCTGATAGACACTGTGCGGCGATCCAGGGTGCACTTTGTGCACTGTTTGCTGCCTAAAACTGAGACTTCGGCTGGGGATTTGAAGGTGCTGGGAGGACCCTCATCTCGGTTTGGGGAGATAGTGGCACACGGAGAAAGCTGTGACAATGGCCTCATGCAGCTGGATGTGTGCTTGCTCCGGGCACAGCTGCGCGGTTCCAAACTGCTCGACGCCCTGCGTATCTACCGCCAAGGTTGGAGTTTAAAAAAGCAAGGCATTTAAAAAATAAGATAAAGACAGTGAATGACCCTGGTTATCGATCTGTGACCTTTATTTTGAAGAGAATGTGGAAAAATGTATGAAGAGAGGAAAGATTTCAAAGTTCAAATTTTCCATGCAGGTTTGACTTTTCCGAATATCGCGTTTTTCTCGCAGGGTTTGTTGACCTTTTGTAGGGCTTTTGTGGCCAGACGCTATGTAGCATTCTAGATGCCATTTTTTTTATTCTTGGAGACGTTCATGGGCTTATTTTGTTGAGTAGTCTTTTTGAAGACATTGCAGTGAAATCAGCAAAATGTCACTGGGAAATGTTTTGGCACATTTCAGCCTAAAGCCCTGAGTAAGCAGAACATTCCCAAGATAAGCGACTGACCAATGCCCTCGTCACTGCTCTCTGCTGAACCTCCACAGACCTTGTAGCTTTCTAGAATCACACATGTCCTTCTCCTGTAACGCTCCTGTCATTCGGCTCTCCTCTTCCTCAAGGTTATCCCGATCATTTGGTCTTTTCGGAGTTCCGTCGCCGCTTTGATGTGCTGACTCCCCACCTGACAAAGAAACATGGGCGGAACTACATCGTAACCGATGAGAGAAGGGTGAGTGTCCTTTTGTGAGTGTGTTGTTTCTCTAAGCGCCATTTGGCTCCTCCTTCATGAGCTGCTCTTCCATGTAATTGATTATGACAGTGCTCAGGGCAGAGAGCTGTGTTGTTGATTAATGGGGCTGTAGTACACATCTTTTCCCCCTTAATCTCAGCTCTGCTCTGGTGACAGGGCAATAAAGGCTTTAATCGGGACCCAGAGTGACGACTCTATCGGTAGCATCCTGTCCTATCACTGACCCCGCTTCTGTTATTGAGTCTACAAAGATCAGTAATGTCTTAATGTGAACTTTATGTGTATACAATGGATGTATATGTGTATATATGTACATTTTAAATATGTACAGTACATTATACATATGTGTGTATATATAGTATCAGTTAAACATTTGGACATATTTAACTGAACATCTCTCTTTGGTAACAAATTCTCAGTAGATTCCCCATTAGACCTGTGATCTATCTGCTGCTGCTCAGTCTGAGATGTGGCTTTTGGCTTGTCTCTCACCACTGAACCTGTTCACCAGTTGGCCCCTGTGCCCCTGCAGAGAGCACTCAATACCTCCCTGTGCTTTTAGCTCAAACTCTAGCCATTAGTCATCAGTCCACCGAGATTTTTTTAATCCCCTGCTATGTTGTTATTTGCCTGACATCTTGTCGGGAAGAAAGCACTCATGGGTGAGTGGAAGAGAGGGGTCAGACATTAAGACAGTTGTTTGTGACCTGGTTTCCCCAAGGTGGTTTGCTTTTGGACAGAAAGAGCACCCCAGTCAGCACTCTGTCCACTTGGTTCCCTGCTGAGGTGGACGGCATACTAGATCTTTATGTCTGTCTCACTGTTTTATACGTGTGTGTCTGTGTGTTTCAGGCTGTCGAAGAGCTGCTGGAGTCTCTTGAGCTGGAAAAAAGCAGTTATCACATGGGCTTGAGCAGGGTAAGTCATTCCTCACAATACATGTACTAAACATTAAAAACGATAGTGTAGCTAATGATTTTAGACCTAGAAGTGGCTCATTACCTGCAATACTAAGCTATTCACTCTAGCCAGCAGAGTTTTTATGTAATTTAAATGTCTGGCATTTTTCAACACTTCTCAATTAATCAATCAACAACAAAAAAAAAAAGTCAAGATTGCAATTACGGAAAAATATCAATACACATATCATGTCGGTTTACTCCTGTTGCATCTATTTACATTGTGTTTTGTAGCGGCTGAGCATTGTAACCAATCACAGACATGTCTGTTGATTTTAAGATTGGGGGATTTAAACTCTTGACATCTGGCAACCGCAACCATGAAAGCTTGTGAAGGCTTCTTACCAATGCAAGATAACACAAATGACAAATTAAAATGAATGGTTTCCAGGATAAATAACCAGCGGGCAAATATTGCTGATGATTGTGCTTAATAAATCGAGAGAAGCAGAAATTGTGATCATGATTAAAATACATTTTATTGCACACCCTGAATCAACACTGAACTGACTTGAGCTAAATAATAACATCATTGTTTTTTTATCATAATCATGAAGCTCTAAATTCATCTAAAAAAGGAAAGACTTCACATATTCAGTCGCTCTATGTTATGGATCAGTGCATTGAGTCAGTTTGCGGCATACAGATTCGGCCTGAGTCACAAGGATCAGTTCCAAACAGATGGCATGATTTCCATTTAGATTGCCGAAACGTTCGCTTCTTCTACACCTCTTAGACACAGACAGACTTTAATCCGCTCTGCCGCTGTGCTCACATCTGGATGGAAAGTTCGGCAGGGTGGGCTTCGGCCAGAAAGACTCGTCTCCTCCTCTCCCACCGTGAAGCACTCTCTGCTCTGGGCCGACGCTTTACCCAGAATGCTAAGCTGCAGATGGGACATGGCTGGCATCGTTGGCAGGCCTCATTGGCGGCGGGCGTGTTGGAGCGAGAAAGACAATTATTCAGAGGTTTTCTGTGAACACATGAGCCAGGCTGGAAGGTTGTGCTATTGCACACTGGGTCTCCCCTAAACTTCGAATGATTAAAGCAGAATTCCTTTTGTGCATCTTCTGTAGACGATAGATTGATTCTGGCGAGGTACCGGCTTGCTTTGTTTGGTTTACTCTGGCTTGGCGCACGACGATAACTCACTACAAACACCAATCAGCCCAGCAAGATATTGTGCTTCCAGACAAAGAACAGAAACCTGGAGAGAGAGCCAGAATAATGACATTCTGATAAATAGCTGATTACATAAATGGGAATAGATAAAAACGTGTCCAGGAAATACACAAATGATTAGTTTGTGGGTGGCCATCATTTTAGAATTCTGCTTCACACCACTGATGGTGATTGTATACACAGTGGCTATTTTGTTTTGTTTTGTTTGGTTTGGTTTTGTTTTGTTTTATTTATTTTTTTATTTTGTTTTTGTTTCATGTTGTATTGTTTAAAATAGTAGGGCTATTTATTATTTTATCTTATTTTTAGCTATTTATTTATTTTTACTTATGTTTTTTAAAGTAATTTTGAAACCTTTTTAAAAATTGAAGTATTAAAGGAAAATTTATTTAAAGTAAAGTACTTGGGCCAGATTTACTAACAGCTTGCGCCAGCACAAATCGTCTTTTGGCATTAAAATAGTACTGTCAGGATTTACTAAAGACGTGCAGTGAAGAATTAGCGCTGAAAAGGCGTGGACACAGTTATTTTTGCGCCTGGCCTTATTGGATATGCATTTGTAGGAGTTTCCATTTCAGATGCAAAATTTATGGGAGGAGACGATTAAAATGAATCACGCAACGTGTTTTACTAATGTTTGCACTCGTCAAATTACTATTAAAAGAACCAAAGACTTAAACTACTTCAGTCTGTGTGCATTGAATTTATTTAATACACGAGTTTCACAATTTGAGTTGAATTACTGAAATTAACTTTTCCACGACATTCTAATTTATTGAGATGCACCTGTATTTGCGCCATTATTTAACGCCCAAACAAAGCATGTCTTAAAGCAGGCGGTAATTTGCGCTGCTCTTGGTAGATTGCGCGGTCATTATAGAAATGAGATGTTGCGTCTGTGTTCTTTAATGTGCGCATTGTCAGTAAATCACCCGCAGAATTTTCCCCTTCCATCTGCGCTTTATCGCTCTATCGCTAATTTGCCCTATTTAGTAAATCTGGCCCCTAGTTTCTTGTGTACAGATGCCACTTAGTTTTATATCTACTGTAGTAACATTAAGACATTTTTTTGTCAGCGTTGATGTGAACAGGATCCTAAGCAATCATGAACTCCCTCCACTGCTTATAGAAAACAGTCATTGTACAGTTGCCACCTTAGTACAATACATCCGTCTAAATCAAGACTCCCCCACAGACTTACACACAAGCTCCTCTCTTTGCACTCCTCCATCGCCATTTGTTTCCCCTTCTCTTCGTGAGGAATGCCATTCTCTTGGTCTCCATGGAAAACGCTGCCATTTGACCCGCGTGAAGGGACCTTTCCACCACGCTGACCTTCGGTGCTCTTGTGAGGAAAAACCTGGCGAATCACAGCCCTGCTGGTTGAATGTCATGGGGTGACTTGGCTAACAAGCAGCCGCATGCATCAGAGACATTTCTGAACACTATCATCATGTTCTTCAAGTGAACGCTTCCAACAGGGTCTCTTAGGATGATGTAATTCAGTAAAATAGTGTTTCGCACATGTTCCCTGGTGCTGTGGGTAATGTAGCTGTGAGTATTTTAGCATCTCCACCTAATCTTACATTTGACTCGAGAGGACCATGAATGAAGTTCTCGTTTGGGTGATATCAGGCCTTTTTTGTGGCACATCTTCACTGACATTGAGAAATGAAGCTCAATTTTCCCTTGCTACTCTCCTGAGGTGGAGAGGTCCCTCTCTGATATTACATCTGCCCGAAAGCAGATAAGTGTGTGTGTGTGTATTGGCTGCACAGCAGGTAGCTCAGTCCTGATGTTCTAATTTACGGGGTTGTAAAGGGTTGTGGGGAGCGTTTCAGGTAAACGTATTGTCCTTTATTTTTATTTGTGGTACCATTGGGTTGGCAGTCGAATGCCGTGGGGTCAAACTTTACATGAATATGGAATCATTTCATTACACCCCATTCTCTCCTATGATGTGATTCTGGGAGCTCTGAGAGATTGCCTCCTGTAATAACAATAACTGAGGCTCTACATCACTGAAAGGCTCTGGCTGCCTTTGATGTAAAAAGGAAGATTATACTGCAGAGCTGCTCCAGATAAAGGCTCAATCAAGAGGCATTTGTTGCCATTCCCACAGATGAGTAGTAATTGCAGCAGTGGACTCTCATCTTCCCTTCTCTCTCTCTCTCTTTCTCTCGCTCTCTCTCTATAAATAAATATATATATCTTGAACCAATTTCCCAAAGCAGTACTTCTTTCCAGCACAGGCTGTCAGGTACACCCCAGATTCTGTGCGGTTTTAATTAGGATTCTGTTCATCTAGATTAATCCATCTTTAAAACTAATAGAATTCTAATGCAATTAGACCATGTCCACAGAGTTTGATGAATGCACGTATGGAAAAAATGCAAGGTCCACTTCCCTCAAATTTCTCTGATTAAATGGCCTAATGGAGTTGGATTCCGAAGTGTTAATCCAACTCGGTTTGACACCCCCACCACAGAGCGGAAAATTACGAGTAAACAGAGCATGGGCAGAGGTTCAGAGGCAATCCTCACGCTTTCAGACAGGGTGGCTGCAGAACTTATTTGCAGGAAAGGAACATCTGGGACTATGAAATTTTATGTATATCACTCACTTATATCTAAATAATATATGTTAATATATGTGTATTTATTTATTTTTAATTAAAAATAATAATTATACACAAGTTCAAAAGGTTGGGGTCTGGAAGATTTTTGAGTAATTTTTATGCTCACCAAAGCTGCATTTATTCAAATGTACAGTAAAAAATGTAATATTGTGAACTATTGTTACAATTTAAAACAACTGTCTCTTTTAATATTTTGCAATATATTATAAAATGTAATTTCCTGTGATGGCAAAGTTGAAAGCAGCCATTACAGTCTTCAGTGTCACATGATTCTTTCAGAAATCATTGTAATATGCTTTTTTTTAAAAAATTTTTATAAAAGTGTTTATTTCTTTGAAATACAGTCTTGCTGATCCTAAACCTATAATTATATAAACCTTTTTTTAAATGTATATTTTTAATATATATTTGTATTTTTGCATTACTGTATCTCAAAGACCCTTTGGGTAAAAGTGTCTGACAAATGTATTAATTTAAATAATTTGTGTATGTATGTATGTATATGTGTGTGTGTGTGTGTATATATGTATATGTAATCGCATTATGCACAATTCAATAATGATTTCAAAAGTAGCATATTGTGCACTTTTTTCATTTAAAAGTACTGCTATATGAACAAAAGTGCAATTACATTTGGTTTGCAAAAACTTTAAACAAATAAGGTGCTTTTTTACAGCAGTATTCCTTTTACATAGTAGCAGTTAAAATATTTCTTGTAAATCTCAACTTATTACAACTAACATTAATGTAATCATATTAAATATAAAACCAAAGCTATTTGCCACTGCCAGGGCATTAACGTTTTTATAGAAAATATTTTATAGTTTGTTATAGAAAAACTATATGCTCAGAGTTATGCTCAGAGTCCAGAGCCTCGATCATAACATTATAACAGGGACCTTTCGAGTAGAGAACTGCAGCAGAGTGCGGCGCGGGACAACACTTGATGGGCAAGTGCGGGTGCGGGTGGGTAGAGACTCGTGTGTGTGTGTGGGATGCGGGAGAATAAGGGTGTACCCACACTAGGCAATCTTTACCGTGCCTGAGCGCGTTTGACCCCCAAAGCCCGCTTCATTTGACTAGTGTGATCGCTCTGTGCCGCGGTTCGTTTAGCCGGCCCTGGCTCGGTTGGAAGAGGTGGGCCGGAGTGCAGTTCAGTTTGGTTTGGGCGCGGCACACATGTAGTGTCAGAGCGCTGAACTTCTGATACGTGCAGCATGATATATTTGAGAATGTATTTATTTGTTTGTTTGTTTACTATTTTTTTTTACAGCATGACAGAAAAAAAAAGAAAATATACTCATAACATTTTCTAAATGTTTACACAAATTTTAGTGTTGACTCTGTTGGTTAAGTTTTTTTTTTTTTTTGTTTTTTTTTTTTGTATTAATAAATATAAATTTAACAAACAGAATTTAATATTAAAGATTTTTATTAACATTGTACCATTAACCAAATGTGATGAATTCAGTGAAATTTTTATTGTAAGACAGTTTATTGTATTTCCATACATCTCATAGCAGTGGTCTGTTTGCAGGTGTTCTTCAGGGCAGGTGTTTTGGCTAAGCTAGAGGAGCACAGAGATATCCAGACCAGACGCAACATCACCCTGTTTCAGGCAGCGTGCAGGGGCTACTTGGCCCGACAAGCCTTCAAGAAGAGGAAGGTAAGTCCTCCTGATCTCATAAAAAGGAATTCATAATGTAAATAATTTACACTATATGAAACATTTAAGACATTTTAAGCCACTTTTTGTTCCAGCAAAGTGGAAATGTTTTGTGCTTGAGCGTCTCTTTCCCGCTCTCAGTCGGAGCTCTCAGCACTCGAGTTCATTTGTCGTAAGGTTTGTCTCGGAGTCCATCAGAATGTCGGTGCTGTCTTGAGAAAATCCTTCTGGCTGTGGCCTCGGCTGATAGATAACATTCAATCAGCGCATCTCCAGGGAAAAAGACACCTACCCCACTGCCCTCCATCACAGGCCTATCGATTCTCCCGCCACTGCGTGCCCTGCATTCTCGCCTGCCCCCTCTCTGTCCATTAATTTCTGCTTTGCCACTCGCTCTGTCTCTTTTTGGGTTTAAGCCCTGGCGTCTTGTATTTTGTTCTGCCTTCCTTTCAGTCTCTGATCTTGTGTGCTCTATTCTCACTTTCTCACTTCCACACTCATGCGGCCCTCAGTGGGATTGGCTCAGGATGTGAGGGCCGGTCCTACAGTTGCCTGTGACTCTGTCTCTGTCTCTTGCGAAGACTGGGCCCCGTCTCAGTAAAGTTCGTGTGAAAGGAGGAGGTGGGCTTGATGTAACTCCTCACGGTGCTGTTGGCCCTCGGTGGTCAGCTGCCTTGGCAGTACAGCTTCATCAACAACATCCACTTCCTCTTTCAGTGTTGTACACAAACCAAGAAGGCTTTCCTTGGTGAGACTTTGTTTTTAGTTTACCTCAGAGCTCTTGACAGGAGACAAGACTGTTTACTGGATGTTTTGCTGTAAGTAAAGGGAGTTTGAATGAGTCTGTTTGCACTTGTGGGCTGTTGTTTGTATCGTAGATGTAAGTAGGGGTTGCTTTCTTCAGTTAGATACTGTTTTTTTTACTTCTGTTGTTTAGCAGGGCTCCTTGTAAGGCATCTTTTGTAACACTGATTTGTAGGTGAACTGCTTTATAGCTGTTGCCATAAAAGATGGCTTGTGTACTTCTAGATTTGTTTAACTTCTTTGAAAATTTCTTGACTAAGTGCTGTGGCTTTCCATTTGCTGGCGGGTTCACTGTTATTTTCCGCTTTCTGTAAAATTATTGTCCCAACAAAGAGCCTTGTCTGGATGCCTCTGAATCACAGCAACCTGTCCCCAAAGGAATTTATTTCCTTAGAAAGAAATCTTTTGTCAAGCACATGTCAGAAACCTGTGCTTCACGCTAGACTGAGAGATGAGTCTGGGGATTTGTACTGGGTTGTAGCTGTAGAAAGTCTCCTGATGGGCCGTAACCTCAGATGCCCATGAACTTGTCAGTGACTATATAATGAATATTACATGCAAAAATGCCAACACTTTCTTTATCTGACAAGCTGTAATCTGATTGAATGGTTTTAGGCCATTTCTGGAAGTCAAGGTACACAAAAAGAGCTTTTGAGAATGAAATAATCACAGAATTTGGTTTTCTGGATGGTGACATCAGATCTTTGAAATAAATTTTCAAGTACACTGTTTGAGGAACTTACTAAAATTAAATATCCACAAGCAGAATTTGATATTATGCCATGTTTTCAAAGGTACGTTCGTAAAAAAAAATTGGTACGTTGTATAGTTTTTTTTTTTTTGTCTGCAATCTGCCACAAATGGACATTCTGTCTGTCTTTTTATTATTTAATTAAAATACTTTTTGAAATAGACATTAACAAGTCTTTATTTGTACACTACCTTTCAACATTTTGGGGTAAGGTTTTTGAAGAAATACTTTTATTCAGCAAGGAAGCATTAAAGATTTATCTTTCAAATAAATTGTTTTTTTTTACTTTCTATTTGTCGCATAATTTAAAAAATGTATCAAGATTTATTAAGAAATGTTTCTTGAGCAGCAAACCAGCATATTAGAATGATTTCTGAAGGGTCATGTGACGTGTAATGGCTGCTGAAAATTCAGCTTTACCATCATAGGAATACATTTTAAAATATATTACAATAGAGAACAATTTTATTTTCTTGTCAAATAAATGCAGCCTTGGTGAGCATAAGAGACTTCTTTAAAAAACATCAAAAATCTTACTTACCCCAAACGTTTGAATGGAATTATATTGTAGTATTATTCAACAAAAACTACGGTCAGTTATTTTTCTTGTCATAAGATGGCCATACTTTTTCATTTAATTCTGCCTTTCAGAAGCTACAGAAGATACTGTTATGCTCATAAGTTTACATACCTCTAGCACAGAGATGGGCAAACTCTGTCCTCTAGGGCCACTGCCCTGCAGAGTTTTGCTCCAACCCTGATCAAACTCACCTGCCTGTAGCCTTCTAGTAATCCTGAAGACTTTGATTAGCTTCAGGTCTGTTTAATTAGGGTTGGAGCGAAACTCTGCAGGACAGTAGCCCTCCAGGACTGAGTTTGCCCATCTCTGTGCTAGCAAAATATGCGATAATTTTAACAAAATAAGAGGGATCAATTGCATGTTATTTTTTATTTAGTACTGTCATGAATAAGCTATTTCACGTAACAGATGTTTATATATACTCCATACATATATATATATTTTACACACACACACACACACACAGTCTCATTAATAGATTCTCATAAGCCTCATGATAATACTGTGAAATTGATAAGTAGACCTACCCACTGTAATGAAATATATTACAATAGAGAACAATTTTATTTTCTTGTCAAATAAATGCAGCCTTGGTGAGCATAAGAGACTTCTTTAAAAAACATCAAAAATCTTACTTACCCCAAACGTTTGAATGGAATTATATTGTAGTATTATTCAACAAAAACTACGGTCAGTTATTTTTCTTGTCATAAGATGGTCTCTTCCATTCTGTTTTGTGTTTCTTGGCTAGAATAATGTGCAAATTGAACCATTGCTCTGATTAAATGTCTAGTTATGTGACACTACAAAGGCCCCTGACCTAGTGATGAAAACAGTCTTCGACAGAATCTCAGTATCATATCCTCTTCTAAATCTAAAAAAGTGAGTGGAAAGTGGAAGTGGAAAGACCTAAGTATGTGATGGAGTCATTTCTGTTTTATAGGATGTATTTAATCATGTCAAGACAAGCAGTGTTGAGTTGAATCTTTACAGCAGATCCCTGAGAGACAGCCATGTGGGACCAGGCTTCCTGTGGCAAACCACAGTTGCCACAATGCAAAATCAATTTGCTTGTTTCTCTCTCAGATCGATAATGGAGGGATCTCAGCACCTTGAAGTCTGTTCCAGTTTTAGAGTGCGTTCTAAGCCTTCAGTCCCTCCAGTTTTCTCTGTCTTTCCTCTCTCCTCCTTTCTGTTTGTCTCTGTGGGGGGCATCTGAAAGGAGAACAACTCCATGTGGGCTTCTTTGAAGCTCCTCGGCTCCTCCCCAAGTTTCGTTGACGTTCAGCGGAAATGACACTAGAGGGAGCTGGGAATTTCACGAATGCCAATCGTGTGTCTAATTAACTCATTGCCTAAAGACGCAAGCTTTCGCTGCAAGTGTGAACAGGTGCCCTCGCAGACACGTGTGAGTGCGCTCAAATGTCCTCGTGTTCATACGTGCAGATGAATGCCACCTGCTGATCCGTATTCAAATTCACACCACACACCTGTTGGAAGGGTTGTGGCCGATTTTGTTGGAGTCGCATCCACTCCTGCCAGGCCCCAGGGCTCACAGGCACCATATCCTCCAGACGGCCATTTTAATTAGGAAGCTCTTCCTGATTTCGCCGTCTCTTACAAGCTGTTTAGATGGCTGTTTGTGGCATTTGTTGTGGTCAAAGCATGGCAAATGAGCTGCGGTGCATATGTCGGCCACGCGCCGCCTCTGTTCTGTGCCGAAGCTTTCTCGCCGTGACAAATTAGACATAGCTCGAACGCAGTGTGCACGGACTCGGTCCCGTTAATGTGCTGAATTGGGCCCGTCTAATTGGGTTTCCAGATAATCCTCTATTATTTGAATCGTCCCTGTTCCTGCAGCATGTAAATCTTATGCAAGGTTTAAATCAGCTGCCAAGTAGTATTGAAGTTTAATTGAATTACTCAAAGGAGCTTGGGGCTTTTGCTTCGCACTGCATTTCTACACAGTTGGTACGACTCCAGAATCACTCCTCTGTATAGCCTTCTGACGGCCTCATTGAAGAAAATGTGTTTGTTTTCCATTTATTCTTCTTGTGATCAACACCTGTAATGGGTGTTTTGCTGAGGGTTAGTATGTAGGCCATTTTTACGTCCACTTGATGGAGTAGAGCAGTGTTTTTTCAAACTGAGTCTAGAGTGGAAATAAGTGGGTTGCACACTGAGATGTGTGAGATGACTGACTGTGTGTTCATGCCATGCTATAAATATGAAAAATCTAAGTTCTCAAGTTGAATTAATTTGTAATTTTAATTTATTAATTTGATTTATGAACAAATCACTCTAAATTGGTTTGATATAGAAGAAAAAAAAAGATATATATACTGTATATAATTATTATGATTATGGTACTTATAACATTTGGATTGATAATTTAACTTATTAAAATTATTTATAATTTTTTCAAAAATTAACATCACTGGTTAAAAGATTGAACTAATTATGATTTTTTTTTTTAATGTTTTTATTTATTTATTTTTTTACATTTTTTTTTTTTTAACATTATGCTCATCAAGGCTGCATTTAAAAATACAATAAAAAGTAATATTGTTATATATATATATATAT